AGTAAACTGCTTTGCTGAACACACGTGTCATGAGAGTTTCTCTGAGACGAACGGGGTAAACCTTTCATAAAGCCAGGGTTCCTCCTGAGCGCTACCCAGTATCACCGGGGAGTGCTCGCAATTTTACCCACAGGACAGTCGAGTATTCCAAGCCTGTTGACTTTGACCGAGTTGGCCAGTGATGGAGAAGGTGCAAGCCAGCGGTGCAACGAGGAGCCCAAGCCCGAAGGCCCGATGGCGGGACTGGCCCAGAGCGAGGGGCACGGGGATGGAGCCGAGAGGGTGCCAGAGGACGCCAGGTGGTCATTTGGGGTCAGCATGGGGCCTGACAGGTTGGCAGGATGGGGAGTCATGACAAGCCGTGGCTCAGATCCAAAGCCCGGGAATTGGAGGAATGCCTAACCTGCTTGGAGGCCAAATTCAAGCAGCAGTTGGAAGCCATCCAGGTGATACTACAGGCCATACGTTGTGAGAATGAGGCGCCTGCAGTAGAACCACAGGCGGAGGAAGAGTCGGGCGAGGCCAGCACTGGTCCTGTGCCCCATCCAGCTCTGAGGACGTGCCTCAGAGGCGAGGTATCAGGAAACTGACGGGCGGCAGACGCACTGCGACTCCGGGGCCTGAACGGAAAGTTCTCGGGGGACCCCAAACAACTACCTTGCTTCCTCACAAGGGTGAGGAATTTTATGAAGTGGAGTGGCCACCTTTCCTCCAACGATGGAGAGCGAGTCGCCTACGTGGCCGACTTGTTGGAGGGCCAAGCAGCCAGTTGGGTCATCCATCTATACGATGCCAATGCAGCAAAGGTAGAGAGTTTCCCAGAGTTCATGCAGGCACTCTGGGATAGATTCGAGGACACACTGAGTGCCAGGCAGGCCAGGGATGACATCCAACGCCTGAGACAAAGAGAAAAGTCGGTGGCTGAGTATGCCCTAGAGTTCTGGTGCCTAGCATAAAAACTCACAGATTGGCTGGAATCCCTGAGGGTGGACTATTTGAAGAACAGGCTCAACTCAGAGATCCTAGAGAGGGCGCTCGGTCAGGACAATCTGACCACGCTAAAGGAGTGGATCTGGTTGGCAGAGTCTACGTGGCAGCAGATTAAGCGAAGGACGAGGCACCAAAAGCCGAGCTGGGTGAGGCGGCTGTGGAGGAGAAGTGGAGCAGCCGACGGCAACCCACAGGAGGGCGGGAGACTCAGAAGAAACCAGGTCTCTGTTTCCGGTGTAGAGGACGAGGCCATCGGGCAGCGCAATGCCCAACAGAGCAGGACGTGGCCCCACCCCGCATAGATGCCAGGACCCCGAAACCTCCGGGATGGCGTGCCCCTGACCAACCACGGAAAGGAGTAGGGGCTGCAGCAGCAGAGTGCAGTGGGACCGGCTGGTTCACCCCCGAGATGGCGTCGTTGGGGGAAGAGGCGGAGCCGGTGGGAAACGAGCAGCGCCCGCACTGAATGGCATCCCAGCGCAGGCAGAGGAGCTGAGACACAAAGACCCAATGGTGAGCGAGGACTGCCCACCCATGCGAGTGAGGGTCCACATCCGGGGAGTGAGGTTGGAGGCTGAGGCTAACCTGAAGGCGTTACTGGACTACGGATGCACCCATTGCTTCATACACCTGGCGCTGGTATTGGGACTGGGCCTCCGGGTGTGACGGCTCCGAAAGCCCACAGCCTTCAGCTAACTGGACTCACTCATGGGGGGGCGGCGGCTCAGTACTACCCTGAGCCAGTCAAGACGACGATCGGGACCCATCATGAGGAGTTACGGTTCGTGGTGGTCCCAATTGCCAACTACACACTGGTACTTGGACTGGCATGGTTGAAGCAGCGGAACCCCCTCATCGACTGGGCATTGGAGGCGGTGTGATTCTGAGATGAGGAAGAGCAGACAAGAGAGAACTGGAGGCGAAAACGGGCGACGACGAAGAAGGGAGCAACTCCGGAGCAGCAATCGGCAGAGGAGGAGCTAGCCACGCGGGGAAGCGCGCGGATCGTGGTGGAAGCCAGAACGGCAGCGGTGGTGACGTCAGGGATCCTGGAGGTGGCAGTGGCCCAGGCGGCAGCAGCAACAACCGACCCTGCACAAGGGGGAGCGGAGATGCTGGTGGACATTGGGAGCATCCCCCATCCTTACCGCAACCTGACGGCGGCGTTCGGTGAAGTAGAGTCGGACCAACTCCTGCCCCACAGACCCAGTGACTGCTCCATAGAGCTAGAGCCTGGGGCCAAGTTGCCAAGCCTAAGATCTACTCCCTGTCAGGGAAGGAGATGGGCACCCTATGAGAGTTTGTGGATAAGAACTTGAAGCGGGGATTCACCCAACCTGCGAAGTCCCCTTTGGCAGCCCCGGTGTTGTTCCAGGAAAAGAAGGATGGCTCGCTAAGGCTGTGCATGGACTACCAGGGGCTGAACACCGTAAGTACCGAATACCACTACCCCCTTCCCCTGATGAAGGACCTTCTGTCCCACCTGTCCAAGGGGAAGGTGTTCACAACACTGGACTTGTGAGAGGCGTACTTCAGGGTTTGGATACACGCAGGGCATGAATGGAAAACCAGTTTCAATTGCCCACTTGGAAGCTTCCAGTTCCACGTGATGCCGTTCAGGTTAAAAGGGGCCCTGGGAGTGTTCATGCAATTAATAAACAAGGTGCTGCATGATCTATTATACCGGGGTGTCCTTGTCTACCTGGACGACATCCTAATATA